GGTGATCCTAAAAAATTCCACGTACAGTTATTTCCATTTTGCAAGCGAATCGGTATTCTGTTAAAACAAAAAAATTAATCCCTCCCTCTCACGTTATAATTTCCCTGTCCCAAGCACTCTTATCCCCATATCGATTCCCTCTGGAGATTCCTGTGAGTGTGCGTATCAGCAGTATTTTAATTGTTCATACTCATTGTGTAAATGTCATTGTGTTATTGGCTGTTTCACTTATCCCTCGATCCTCTCCACACATTATTCGCTATTCTTTTTGTTCCTTAATTTCTGTCTACAGTAATTTAGAATTTTCGAGTGTTAATTGTTTCTTTCAATTTCATGGCTGTCGATTTATAATTGGCGTACATCTCATTGTTAGCTAATGTAATGACTAATTTTTCCACAGAGGATGAATAAATGATGGTATAAAGGACAAAATAGCTCTGGAAAACTGTTTGAGGGAGAGAGCAATGTCTCGGGGATTAAAATTCAATTATGAAAAATACGGTAAAAGGGTAAGGTAAAAAACACAATCAAAAATTGTTGGCAAATGAACAGAAAATCTCACACTGAGTGATTAAAAGAGATGACATTGACGGCGTTAGCTCGTGTTTTATAAAAAACGAAAAACAAAAATGATGCGTAGATAATAAACATTTAAAAAAGGGAAACGTATCATTTAGTTAATATAACCAGTCTTGAGTGGATTGAGTGGACGTTTGTGGCGTACCCTCCCTACAAATTTAATATATTAAACTTCTTCATTAAAGCATTAACTTTACTTAAATGTCAAGATTCATCTTATTAAATTTCATTTTGTTGACTTTTTCCTTTATTATTTTGATTTCACCTAATTCTTTACGTATGTTTAGTTATGAATGTAACAACTAATTAAGTTACAATGGAAAAATATAGTTAAACCAACAACGAACTAACTTAAACTGCATTTACACTGTATTCTGCATTTTTCATTAAAATTTAAATTTATTAGTTCTTTTTCTTCTTTAACGCCGTGACAACTTTTATATGCGTTTTACCATGATAACCCTTACGATAAAAATTCACGGATTGGCATTACGAATTAGTCAACGAGAGGGAACCTATCATTTCGATGGAGGGGGAAATGAATAATAATTCTTATCTGTTAAGTTTGAGTGAATTGTAACGTAATGCGAGGTGGAGATCTCATGTAAATAAACAAAAACGATACAACGAATAGACCTGGGTGCATAATAACCTTAGGAAATTATTTAAAAAATTATCAACAACCTTGAAATTGTTCAACGATATCTACACGAATTAAAAAAGAATTGAGAATTTTTCCCTATTTTTTTCTACTATATCCCGATATTTAAAAAATATTAATGATCATTAAATCATCGTTTATTTCCATTTACAATTAGTTAAAGTCAATCAATAATTTCTCTAGTTGATTTTTCGTAAATTTTTTTTTCATTCACTAAAATTTCAAATAAAAAAGAAAAAGGTATTTACAAATTCATGGGAAAAATATTCATTAAAAAAAACGGATAATTAATCTATCGTAGAATATCACTCTCGACAATATCAATTAAATTTATTTTGTCATCCGTCTGAGACTCGTTAGTAGAAAAAATCAATGTGATTCGTTCATTTTGCCACATATCGCATTCCACGTATTGCATTTTTTCATTAAATTGCCTTGTAAAATCATGCATCTATCAAAATTAAAAAAAGAATTTAAATTTATCATTTCAATTCATCACGTTAATCATTAGTTTTAAAACATTCCTTCAGTTATATTGTGGTTTTTCTTCTCATTAAGTGTTTATGGATAATAATAATAAGGACATTGTTGTAAGTTCATTACTCGCAGTCATTGTCTAGCACTAGTGGTTCCATTGAATTCAATCTTTATCTTCGTTAATTAGTTGTTCATTTTGTTTCGTTCGTTCTTCCTATTATATTACAATTACAGGTAAGATGAGATGGACAGCCTTAGATAACAAAAAAAATGAAATTAACGCAATTCCCTATGATTTCCTCCACCCCTGGTACCCCATTGTTTCCTTCGCTCATTAAATAACGCATCCTGGAATTCGAATAATTTCCTTAATTCTCTTTAAAGTCACGTCTTCTATTTAGATTTCTTCGTTTTCCCTTACTCATTTTTTTAATCAACTTTAGCCTCTTATTTATCTGAATAATCAACAACGCATTCCACTCGCTTATTTATAGTTTCTTTTTTAACTCGTATTATGCGTGTAAGACTGTGTTTTCATCAATTAATGTATTTATGTAAATGTATAATTATTAATTTTCTCGGTAATATCCGCGTTATCATCATCACGTACCCGACGTTTGTTAAATTTTCTCATTTCTCTCATTAAATTTTCCTTAGCACAAAGACAAAAGGGTTATTTGATTGAGCTCCCTTTGTATTCCTTAATTACTCGTTAATTGTAAGATGTCTTGATCCCAGAATTGTATTTTTTTTAAATTTTATCCCTCTTTATCGAGCCGCGTCACTTCTCGTTAAACACGACGACCTCAATAATTTTCCAAAATTAATGAGAAAGAGGAGAGTAATTGCAAGAAGAGATAAATCATCGCTGCGATCGCAATTACTCCATTAGATGGTTCAATTCAATTTATTTCCCCTTGCAGAATTTTTCCCCTCGCCAGTTGAAAATAAAGTAATAAAAAAATGGATTTTTTGTCACTATACGTGCGGTAAAGAAAGTCACATAACGCGGCCCGGTAATAATTCTTTCAAGCATTTTAAATGGAGAGCCGTCGTTTTCAGAAATATATTCATTTACAGGTTCTATGGTAAACCCTACAGAGTAAATATAATTAAGCCATATATTTAATCAGGTAGACTTTTCAGATCAGTGCCCCCTCCTCTCTCACATTCCCCCCCTCCCAAAAAAATACCACACCTTATTTAATTTCAGCTGTTGTTAATGCATCATAAGTTATTCAATCTCACCCGCCCTCGAGACATCCACCAATTTCCATTATCAATTTATTTAACAATTATTCATCAGTGAAAAATCATACAAATCCCCTTACCACAAAATTTAAATTTATATCAATGATGAACTCAGTCTCGCCAGTCTAAAATTTATAGTTATTAATACAGCAAAAATCTTACAGTCGTCAGTTGTTTATCATTAAAAATTGCGCAATTACGAAAGGTTAACTAGGATTATTTTTTTTATTCATTCATTATCATTCTTGATTTTTTGTATTTTTCTTTTTTCATTTATTATTAGTCTTTCCGACACTGGAGATGTTTGTCGATGACTGTGAAACAAAAGATACTACAGAACAATTCAGAAGATAATGGGATAGCTCAGATCCAGTGGACAATAACTTTTAGACAAGGAGGAATTATAAAATAAACAATTCAAAATAATTGAGGCTATACCCTACAGTACAATTTGTAAGGAATATTGAATTTGATGCATCGCGTTGCATTACGTTTTGATATTTTTGTTCTACGCTTATCCTATTGACGAAGAGAAAATTAATTTTAAGGTGAAGGAATAAAACAGAATAAATATAATTGAAGATAATTAAGGTTATAAATGGAAATGTACAGTAATTGGTCTCGAGAGCAGAGATTTGAGGGACTGTTGACTCACAGGGGTCACAATAATCAAGACCCCTTGAATTTTAATCACAATCAAAAAATGTTATTTATTAATTCTACTTTACACTTTATTATACTTTAAGTTGGCACGGTGTGTTTAAATTAATACGAGTTTAAATGCGTTGTAAGGGCGGTTTTAATTAGTATTGACAGTCCACAGGCCGTGCAAAAGTCTCCTCTCAAGATGATGAAAACTAATTAAGAGTTAATTACGGTAGGAAAATTCTAGTCTGAAAAAAGGGGGGAAAAACAACAAAAACTACAGTAGCCAGCTACAGCTGTCAATGATTTGACACACAATGTTCAACGCGACAATGATTCTATTTTTAAACTTTAACCATTAACTCTATGTCTCCTTCGTTCATTGCTTTATTTTAAAATTTAATTAGCTTTATGATCAGCCAGTGAACGTATTACTTTAACTATCGAGTTGTTTTTACCTAATTTAATAATTGGATTTCATTCATGTCTCATAAGTTTCATTTCCTTTACTCGATAATCTAACTATAATTAATTAGTTACATAAGATAAGTGGAAGGGGTTTTTTTAGATGTCTCGAAGGCGTTGGCCCATCAGATGCGCCTTCAAAATTCATTATATTGGAATCATAATAATTTGTTTCAATAATTTTCTATTTTTTATTTAAAAAATTCATTAATAATTGAACGGTGTCTATTGCTGTCAAAAACCGGTGGTGAACGAGTGCAGAATGAAATTTGTGCACAAATCTCAAACGATAAAACGAAATATATTCAGTGTCCACCTCGTTCACCCCCGTGCCATATTTATTTTCATCTCTCCACTATCATACGTTTCCTTTATTAATTAAAAAATGTTCCTTTACGCTCGCTTGGTCTTCTTTTTTTTATTCAAAAATCTCTAATGTCGCCCTGACCATAATGTCACCCTAACACTGCTCTTATTTAATATCTCCCATCATTCCCAGCGCCACCTAAAGAGCCTACTTGCAGCATGGGATGTCTACAATGATTAAAGTCTCAAGCAGAAAAACAAAATGTCCATTAAAATTTTATTAAACCCCCACTTTCCGACCCCATGCAATTGTCATAACATCTCCAACATGATAGAGAACATCCCCAATAAAATAATCGAATAATCGGGCATTCCATTGACAAATGCAATGTAAAATGCCGACGAAAAATTGACCTATCCAATGAATAATCGTACAAAGTATTGATAATAAATTTCAAGTGAAAGATAAAAATATGGACAACCCATGCCAACAAGATGAAGCTATTTAGTGCATATCTCTCAACATCCGGGATTGATTAAAATGGTCATGAGGTGGGCCACTCTTTGTAATCAAAGCCTTGCTGGCCAGGTTTTGGAGCGCTGGCAGCATACCCACCTTGGTTGCTATCAGCACCCTGATAAGAACGTTGTGGATAATTAGTATCAGCAAAACTCCCAGTGTAACCAGTATAACCACTGTAATCAGGTGTCTTAGCTGAACTGCTGCTTGATCCTGGCGCACCAGAGCCTGTCGTTTGCCTTGAATACATATCACCTGAAACCAACCCACCATCTAATACTGATTTTCACCCCTAAAACACTATTATTCAAACACCTACACAACTAAACTAACAAAACATGGACTCGAAACGATTCAATTTAATTCGTCCATTGGTGATTACTGACGATTGATTAAACTGGTAAAATGTGTGAAGCCTAATTGATCTATATACTAGTAACAAGTGAATTACAGGCACAAGCGAACGATAATCTTCAACTTCACAATATTGAGACATTAATTTAACTCATTATTATTATTATTTCATTCTGCTTTATTTGACGAACAGGGCGAGGAGTATAGAGATGAGAGGAATTAGAATAGGAGTGCACTAGCCTACTCTACATTCTATTTTAAATAAAATCGTTGCCCTTCGTCAATGGGCTGAAATACTCGAGGAATTGTTGTCTATTGTTAACAATTCACATAACAAAAGGATGAGTTCAATGCGGCAATTGATATTTTTTTAATTGTTATGACTGAGGGCAAAATGCAGCTGCTACTCAACAATCTGATTATCGAATTTCTTCAAAACTACATTTGGTGTATTGAACAGTGATGTATAATCCCAGCAGTGTACGTAGGCTCGTAATTTTTTAGAAAGAAAATACTATGGATGGCAAGCGTGACATCAACAAATGTACAGAAAAATCATAATCCATACTACATGAATGTACTTTCGTAAGTATTTTGAAGGCAGTCTTAGAGGTATGAGTGACACAATATATCGTAAATGAAAGTATTTGAGAGTTACTGGGAGTCGGAGTGACTCGGAGTAGCTCTCTGGGAGTCACTAGTTCTATTAACTCATTCAAGTTAGATTTTTGAGACGCTCGTTAGATTTTGTTTCCGCAGGAAGTCATGCCTTTTCAGATTGTAATTGCGGAGTTGTGAAAAATGGAATATTATAAGAGGCAAGCGCAAGTAACAGATGAGGAGTCTGTGTTTTTTTTTTCCTTCAATGAGATGAAAAAGTGGCACTTGAGGTGATGAATTTTGCACGTGGAAATTCATTGGGGTGGGTGTGGGTAGGTGTTTATGACTAAATTCCAACATTACTCTCGTTTAAATGTTCAGTGAGAGAGGAGAATACTTCTTTTCAATGGGTATGAATTGAGGACTGGCTTATTTAATATAAGAATTCAGAATTCAGTTTAATATAAGAATTCAGAATTTTTCATCTACTTGATATTTTCATTGGAGACATACATGGTTGAATGTCATTTTGCTACAACATAAAACCTATATTGTTTACTAGAACTGAATTAAACCGAAGAGATTAGAATTGTCGTATGAAAATCACACGTTTTTGCCGGAATGACGAGCACTTCACTCAGTATTACTCACATAGAACCTCGGTAGAGTGCATTTACAAAGGAAACTCAGCAACTTCTTGCGAAGAAAACGATTTCAACTGAAGTTATTAAGCTTGATTAGAACTTTCTTCATCCCCTACAACTGAATTAATCCAACAGAGTGAAGTATTCTTTTCAGAAACTCACCAACTTGTTAACTTTTTGTAAAGTAAATAATTCCTACTACTTTATGTATCTCTTGCAAATTGACCCAACAAAACAAACTATCACAGTATTATTTTCTCATAATTAAATGAGCAAACCGATGCAAAGTGTAAAATTCCGTTGATTTATTCAGTAATTTCACAGTTGGTTTATTCAGTAATCATTCGAATTGACTGAAAATTCAAGTGATTTCTGAAATTTTTGGCTCATTTCTACTTGAAACTATTTGAAACTATCAGAATTCCACCTTAAAATTGAAATTTCACAGGAGTTTCTCCTCAAGTCACTTTCAATGTCATTCATTTCAGCAATGAATATGTTTCCATCCCATTTCATATGAACTACAATCTCCACATGTTGAAACTTAATCATATCAAGTGAGCCTGTGATTCCGTGAAGATGGCACACATGTAAAATATCAATCTGTTGTTTCGTAATGTTACGTGATGTGTGATAAACGAGTGAGGGGTGGGGAGGGTTGGGGGGGG